GAGTTTCCCTGCTCGCTGTTTGCTCTCCCCCTTCCCGAGGGAGCCGAGTGATTGATGGCCTGACGCAGCGGCTGTGTCGCAGCCGCCGGACCAGGGCTCCCTTCCTATCATTAGCGGTAGGTTGGCCCGCGGTGAGAGTCACGGCTCGCCGCCTGGTACAGCCCCTGAGATTTCAGGGCCTGGCCTTTGGAAAATATTTAACATAAAACTGAAATCTTGACACTCCGAGAACTCGGCTCTCTGCGAGTCTCTTTAATTAATCCGACGTCCTGTCCCATTGTTCCCTGCGAGACGGTGACACGGTGAACTGTTCCCGGGGCTGACAGAGATGTGTAGTTCCAAATTAAACAGTCCCCCGCGTGTCCCTACACTGGTTTTTCAGTACAGTCGGTGGGCATGAATCTGTGAATATTTAAATTCAAGCGCACAGGGTGACACAATGCTCTCCAGTTCTACTTTCATAATAGAACATTTTTTGATTAATTTCAAGCTTGGAATCATTCTTTATGGGGGAGAAAAAAAAAGAAAACCCACACACAGAGGAAAGAAATTTAATAATTCATTACCACTGTGGCAAAGGTAAGTTTTCTTAATGTGCTTGTCAGGGTCCTTGGTTTACGAAGACTATCGGATATTTTCTTGGGGGCTGGGGCAGGCGCGCGTTGATTTCCCTAATTTTGAACAAAAGGAAATATATCCAGTATCCACATACCCACGAATTTGCTGGCTGTTCAGTCCTATCTGATTTTATCATTTATCTGCGGGACCACAGTTATTTTAAAAAACCCAAGGAAAGGACACAGGCTTCACCTACGCTGAGACCCCTGCCCTTGCCGCAGTCCTTTGATGAGCGGCGAGAACCTGTGACTGGCAGCAGATGAAAAATGATGCCTCGTGAGCTGCTATCCTGCCGAAATGTCAAGTCGAGTCGAGGCTGCGCCTCAAACTCAGCGCCTGGCATTTCCCTCCTGTCTGCTGGCTGCCGGGAAGCAAACGCGGACAGTGAGGACCTGTGTAGGGCAGGCGGCAGGCGAGCTCCTGTCAAAAACCTATTATTAGGGCTCTGATCTCCCGCGCAGACCGGCGGCGGCAACAGCCAGGGCCTCGGCGGCGGGAGGGGCGCCTGAAGCGGGGCTCGGGGGGCTCGCCGTCCGCCTGCGCGGGGGACACACTCCGACGCGCAGCTCAAGCGGAGCGGTGCCGGGCTGAGCCTCAAGCAGGCTGATCACTTATAATGAAAACTGTAATTCAGCATCTTTATTTGATCTGCCTACTCTGACTGCTCTGTAAATACAGTGCATGGCAGGGTCTTTAATAATTTGATCAGTTAAACTTGTGATGGCCCGAGAATGTTTTCACATGTGAATAATAGGCTAGGTTTTTTGCATTAATTTGGTGCATGCACACTCACACACACACTCACACACACTCACACACTCACACACACTCACACAGTCTCACACACACAGTCACACACTCACACACACATTCACACACACACATTCACACACACACACTCACACATTCACACACACTCACAGTCTCACACACACACACACTCACACACACATTCACACACATTCACACACACACTCACATTCACACACACACTCACAGTCACACACACTCACACACATTCACACACTCACACACTCACTCACACATTCACACACACACTCACACACACACACACACNCTCACACATACATTCACACACACACATTCACACACACACACTCACACATTCACACACACTCACAGTCTCACACACACACACACTCACACACATTCACACACATACACTCACATTCACACACACACTCACTCACAGTCACACACACTCACACACATTCACACACTCACACACTCACTCACACATTCACACTCACACTCACACTCACTCACACATTCACACACACACTCACACACACACACACTCACACATTCACACAGTCACACACAGTCACATACTCACACACACACATTCACACACACACACACTCACACACACACTCACACAGTCACACACACTCACACACACACTCACACACACACTCACACAGTCACACACACTCACACACACACTCACACAGTCACACACACACACACACTCACACATTCACACACTCTCACACACACATTCACACTCACACTCACACATTCACACACACACACACTCACACACACACAGACGAGTGGGTACCAAGCAGAAGGTTCTTGTAACTACTCCTCTTGGCATTTAAAATTCATTTAAATATTATCTTTACCAGGTTATTTTAGACATTTCAAGATCAAAATGTAAGCTTTTATTGATAAAGGTCGTTACAATAGATAGCTGGAATCTGTCAGAGATACTAGGCGTTTTCTCTAAAAGCATTTTATGCGTCAATAATCATAGCATTGGCATATAAAAAAAATCCAGCCCATTAAGAACCGCTTTCAATAAAAAATAAAAACAACCAATACACAGGACTCATCCTCTCACATGTTTCTCTCTCTCTCTCCCCCCTCCACTCTCTGAAAAGCAATGAAAAAAATACCCTCAGGCGAAGATTAAAAATAAATAAATAAAAGACGTTACTGAAATGTGACCGATTTTCCCCAAGTACCTGCTTCCCCGTTTAAACAAACTCAGACCTTCATTTCAAGTAGCAGAAACCCTTTTCTGAGAAAAAAATAATAAAGAGCCAAGAAGGCCGAAAGGGAGGGATGTCCATCCCAGCACCGGAAGCTCGCGTTGCCTCCGAGGGGCCCCAGAAACGCCGCTCAGCTTCCACTTGACGCGAAGCCGGCGGTGCCAGCGGCTCCTGCGAAAGCAGATTCCAGGGCCCAGGGAAAGTCCTCGCGGCAAGTCTGAGCGCTGAGCGGCGGCAACGTTTTCAATCTTATGAAAGTGTCTGGCAAACTCTGCGAGATGCTCTGTGCTGAAGCCGCCACTGGGGGTCTGGACGCCCGCAGCTGATGACCAGGGAGGTGTTTGGCCACGTGGATACTTTCACGCCCCCAACACGCGAGGCCGCGCCTGTTTCACACGATCTCGAGCCCCTCGGCGCGGAAGGGACTTGGCCGCAGAGCCTGCTTCGGTCCTGAATTACTCTCTCCTTGGCTTCCCAAACCCCCACTGCGGATTCTACTGCCTCTGAGTTACAGCGAACACGGCTTTCAAGGAGAAAGCCTACTCATTCTGTCGATACGGAGAAAGGCTGTTTTCAAAACAGACCGTCTGATGGGAGGACTCAGTAGGGAGCCTACTGGAAGTGAGGCGCAAGCTCTTCCAGACGAGAGGGTGCTCTGCTCGCAGGGGAAGTGCACCCCGGCTTCCTGAGCTCACAGCCCAGGCGGATGTCTACCTGTGAATTTATAAATCTTGGAGACGGAGCTCATGGAGAGGGCAGCAGGCCCCGAGGTAAGCTGAGCTGGTTTCCAGGTGCCACTATCACTTCCAGGCACCTGCAGCTCACAGGCTGCAGCTCCGAAGACCTGTCCTAACGCCGAGATTTCGCGGTTTTCTCGGACCGAGTTCCAGGGTGAGGGAACGTTCAGGAACTGCAGCTTAAAGGAGCAACCGTGAGCGGGGTTACCTACATAAAATACTACCGCAATAGTGCTTTCATTAACTTTGAATGCCCAGCACCCTCGGCGACCTGCTTCAGTCCCTGGCTGGCCACCTGGCAGGTGGAGAAATGGAACCGCGGATGGAAAACAGTGCACGCGGCGGCCGCTCCGGGTCTCCCGCCTCCGTCCGCGACACGCGGGCCCGGCCCGTGTGATTCCGGGTCACAGTGATACTCAAGGCCCTGTCCGGCAGCTCCCGCGCCTCGCCCGCCTGCCTTCTTGACATTGGGGGGAGGGGGTGGCAGTCAGTCAGGAGAGGAATATAATTGTTGTTGTTGTTAATTCTCACCTGAGGATATTTTTTCCACTGATGTTTAGGGAGAGAGAGAGGGAGGGAGGGAGGGAGGGAGGGGGAGAGAGACACACATCGACTGGTGTCCTCCTGCATGTACCCTGACTGGGGCAGGGGATTGAACCTGCAACCCAGGTACGTGCCCTTGACCAGGAATGAAACCCACGACCCTTAGGTCCTCGGGGCAACGCTCTAACCACTGAGCCACACCAGCCAGGGCTATAATCCTCCCCCCCCCTTAGAGTCATGGCTCACAGGCACACTTCGTGCTCTGGAGACCGAGCCCTCGGTATGGAGAGTGCTTCACTCTCGCCCTCCCAGCCCCTTCCCAGAGCCCGTCCTGGGCTGACTCGGCGACGCTTTCCCGAGCAGTGGCCCCGCTCCGATGCGCACAGCCAACGCTGTCTCATCACCAAGGAGACTGACCCTCACACCAGCACAGTGGAGAACATCTCAGCATCGTCTCCGCAGGACCAAGTGCATGTTGTCACGGCAACAGAGCGCAGGGCAAAGACGCTGCATGGGACTTGGGGGTGAAGACTTCCCTTCTGTTTAAATGCAAGTGTTCCATGGGGGGGGGGGCAGAGGCGTGGGGCCTGCAGCTGTCTCACGAGCTGCAGCTGCGGATGCGTTTCGACGGCTCGTTTGGGACAGTGGGGAAAGCAAGAGTGTCTGAAGAAGGTAGATTTCAAAACCCTAGGAAACGTGGAAAGGAGTCGGGACTCTGAGAAAGGTGTGAAAATGGGCGCCTCTGGGTTTTCCTATTCGAAGGCCCTGGAGTTAGCCTTTCTGGTAAGTGACAAGAGGACCGTGAGGATGAGAAATCTGGAGGAAAGACAGACAACAGGGAACAGAAGTCCCGTAAAACCCGACCTCAGTGCTCCCTCACCTCCTGCCATCAGCAGCTGAGCCTTCACCTGCTCACGGATCCGCCTGTCCTAACCACTAGGAATTCTGACCAGCAGAGTAGCAATTTGGGATCATATAAGACACGAACAAGACTCTTGCTTGAGACATGCCCTCCTGACTTTTCAGCAAACTCTAAGAAAGCAAAATGCAAAGAGAGGGCACCACCTACCAGACACTCCTCCATATGTGGTCCGCTTCCCAATGCCCACTGCTGGCCAGGGGGTGCCGTCGGCTTTGAGTCCCATCAGGCCCGAGACCGTGTTGGTGGCGGTAACACCATCTGCGCCACCTACAAAATACACATCCACGTTTACTTGCAGTTTTTTTTTTCTTTGCATAGTCCAAGTGTTTTGTATTCGGTGTTGTTTTCTAGGTAATTTACAACATTTTTGCAAATCAGGATGCAATTTCCACTGGGTAGGACACAGCACATGTGATTTGCAGAATCAGGCATTGACTGTATGGTTTATGGATTCAACAGACGTTTACTGAACATATGTTTAGGGCAGTGCACTAGGCTCGATAAAATATGGTGGGAGCTCTTAAGCAGTTTCACTTTGGGGAAGCTGGTGTCTTTTTCTTTTTACTTCATTAAAGGTTCAGTGCCGTTGTTGGATTGTTACGTTGTTACATCATTTGTTTCAGAGGGATTTGCTGTGACTGTGGTTTTGTTTCCTAATCCTTTGTGTGTGAAATATGTGTGTGTTAGAAACACATTATTAATGCTCCTGTGTTCCCCAAGCCCAAGACTGGCATCTACTTATAAGCTTGAGTCCAGGTGTGAATCTACCACACCTGTGAGCTCAAGTGCTCAATTTGATACTTTTCTTAAACTCTAAACAAAGATAAACACGTACGTTTGTGGATAAAGATATATACTTTATATGGCTACATAACTGGGCAACTGATGCAGGTCTAAAGCCCTTACCTTCCTTTGCAGCTCTCGCGATGCTGACGATATCGGTGACATTTGGGGTCAACTTGGCAAAAAAAGGAACCCGAACAGCTTGCCGAATCCAGCGACAGATGTTCCTCACCAGCTCTGGATCCTGTTCAAATAGGTCAGTTAAATATAAAACATAATTAAACAACTGTGACCACAATGCATATCCAAACCACAGCAGAGCCGGACGTGTGCGAGTCGATCCACCTTGGCAATGAGCTCCATGGCGCATTTCTCAGCGTGAATCTGGGCTCCCTCGGGAGCTCAGGTGAACACACTTGAGGTGAACTTCAAGTTCACGGCACACAGGTTATACTCCTCCAAGGAGCCTTCAGAAAACAAAATCACAAAGAACCAAACGGAAGGACGTATTGCCTACTTAGCAGGAATAAAACATAAACTGGTGGTAAGTTCGGGAAACGGTACAGAATTCCTTGTGACCTCCTTGGTTTAAGCCTAATAAGAATATTTAACCTGGAGACTCCCAGGTGAGTGATGCGGAGCCTGAGCCCTGTTGTTTTCATCATTAGAAGGCGCGGTCTTGTTGACGTGCATTCAGAGGAAAGCCCGTGGCTTCCTAGCCCGTGTAACTAGGATGCAGACACCCATGAATGCGATTCCACGGGAGCTAACCAGCAGCCTTGGCTTGCTTCTGTAAATGTTACCCGGATCCAAGCAGCACTTCTCAACACTCGTCTACTTGAAAGAATTGATCAAGATGGCACAAATGAAATAAAATATCAACTGCTCATTTTAGAAAGCCAGGAGCAGACATTTTCCTGCGCCGGCTTCCTGTGATTTCGCAGGCGCCTGTTCTCTCGGGACAAGTATCATTTAGAGGGCAATCACCTATCCCGCCTGCGGAAAATAATGTAGCTGTAGTAATGTTCTTTGATTTCAACACATACAATAGTTCTTTTTTTTCTCATTACTTTTAGTGCAAAATTTATTCTGACAGGTACTGATAATGCGCTTTGATAAATTACCTTAAAATGCGCAGTGGCAATTCATTACTGAACTTGGTAATATTATCTTAGCAAGTGGAAATGTGCTTTGAATAAAAGAAAAACCCAGAAAAATACAGTCATATATTTAGACTATGAAGCAGTGCTCAAGTACACCATTTGTAACTAATATTTTCACCTGTAAGCAAGTTGCTCTTTGCATCCTAAGCTTCCGGATTCTTTTAAGATGAGATTTTGAACATTGTAACCTTTCCCTTAAGCTTAATGTGTCTCCATCGGTCACCTTGCATTCCCCTAAAAGTTACATAGTAGAGCTTCGTGTTCATGGGCTGAGACACTGCAGTGCGGTGATTTCTGTTGATTGTTATGATCTCCATTCAGCAAAACTAATCATTTTAACAACAAAATCTTCGACTGTGCTGGTTCTCTTTTTCAGGACAGTAATTTCTTCATTAAACAAAAGCATGAGAGCAGCCCGGTGTGGAAGGCTCTGCAGCGCACACCGCGCTCCAGGGAGAGTAAAATCCGGAGACTCAGCCGCACGAATCCTACCTCATGGAGGTGGAGACCGGCCCCTGGCCACGCCATGCCCATGAAACATTTATACCGCCCCTGGCTCGACAGAGGGAGTTGCATCCTTGTGACTTTTGTTTCTAAGTGATGAGCTTCCAGGGGACGTACCTTGAAATGACAGTAACGCCACAGGATGGGAGCAGTGCGTCCTTTGTGAAAAGGCCTCTTTCAGGTAGAATTTGACAATAATTTAAGCTCACTTGCACTGCATAATGCACGGCGGGCGGCCCGAGGCGAGTCACCGGGACAAATTCAGAATCGTGTCTGGTTCCAGTGGAGTAGACGCTGATCATCGAATACCTGCTTCTAAGTGGCTTCGACACTACCGACCGGCATATACTCACAAGTTACTTTGTGCGTTCGTCACACTTTTTATTCTGCTGATGATCGCTAATAATGTCTTCCACCCACTGTTTAGCAGTTTGAAATTTGTTCCAAATGTATCAGTTTTTTGAAAAACATGGTCCCCTGTTAATGTTGCTCACTGGAGTCACCTGTCTCTACTCGGACATCCCCAATTTGACCCTCCTGTGCGCCTATGAGTGTCCACGGTGCTCAGGTAGATTTCTCTCGTCTTCACACTCAGCCAATCCTTGTTCCCAGCTGGAGCATATTTGATTACCTGGTAATTTTAAAGACAACGTCTGGCCAGCATTATTGTGAAAATCAGGGACTGTTCCATAAACTGTGAGGTTTTGTTGGACATGCTCACCAGGGACTATTCTGACACGAGTGGAAACGGGGTGAGGCTAACAGCACGGGCGCGTGAACCTGTGTACCCGGGGAATTAAAGGGTAGACTGTAACTATTCACACTTCCCTGGCTTCCTCACACGCCCGATATCAATGCCCAAGGTCTAAGATAAATTAACGGTGCTTCTGCACCTTCATCTCGGTTTCTAGCGACGACGTCAGACGGTGCTGCCCTGCCTCACGTCCACGTTTTAGAATTTTATTGAAGTAAATAGATTTTAGACAACTTCTCATTCTCCCCAAAACCTTCAGGACGAGAAACATTTCTCTTCAATCTACCAGGCAACCTTCCCTCTGTACAGTTCCTTTCCGAATGGCTTTCTTAGAAGGTGGCGTTTCAACGAGCCCCCTGAAAACGTCCGCGAAGGGACCCCTCAGCCCTCACCTGCGCGGCGCGGGAGGGATGCGGCCGGCGCTGTTCCGCCCTCTTTCTGGGGGGAGAACTCAGGTCCGGAAGCTCAGCCCGAGTTCCTGTTTCAGCTTCTTAACTTTCTTTCCCATGACCGTGTCCTAAACCGTCACCTTCTTTAGCAGAATCGCTCCCTGAGGTGACATCCAGCCACGCTTTCACCTGGGAGACGAGAGGTGGCTTCAGGGCAACGGGCGAGTGTGAGGCACTTACCTCCGGTCAGGAAACTAGGACAGAAGGAGTCCAACTACTCCAGGTAGTTAAAATGTACCAAATATTTATCGGGCACAGGGCGCGTACTGTAGAGTAGGACAGTGTCAATTTTTATTTAGCACCAAATGATTAACTGGAAACTCTCCATGAACTGTAAGAATTACAAAGGAATCAACGTTGCCTTCAAATAACTTACAACCAAATTATAACCACGGAGGGCACTGGAATTTGCCAGTCAATAGGCTACGGAAATGGCCTTGGGGTGGCATTACGTCTGTTCCTCTCTGAGCCACCAGCCGCGGAACGTGCGTAAGGAGCGAGCTCTTCCGGAGCTCAAGGGACCCGACGGACGAAGCGGTCGGTATCCCTCGGCCCGGGGCCGCCTCGTGGGGAATGTGTCAGGAGGAGCTCCGATTTCCTCAAACGTGGATATGCAAACGTGGAATAGTAATAGAGCCCGTAAAGAGAAATATCCTGAGGCACCGAAATGAAATGAAAATACGATCTCCCCCTTACTCTGAATACCTGCACGATTACCAATGCGACAAGGGTCGGGCTTTCAGGGATCCCGCCTCAAGCGGCCGGAGGAGCCCGAAGCCCATGCTGCTGATAAAGGAGGGGGTGGGGCGCGCGGGGAGGCACCTCCCAACTGCCGGGCGCACACACTCCCATGAGCACCAAGAACAGATGGGGATTTACTTTTGCAAAAGTCAACAAATGTAATGTACCCAGAGGACAGCTAAATGTAGATAGTTTAAAATTTTGTAGTTGTTTTTTTCCACTTAAAAACGAGCGTACTGGGGCCAAGGTTACAGGGATCGGGTACCTAATGCCGAGATGCCAGCAGCTTCTACTTAGGTTTTCAGAAGATGGGGCGGGGGCCACAGCCAGTGTTACAGAGACGGTTTTACCCAGGCCTTTCCTGCTGCTGATAGCCCTAGGTTTTAACCTATAATGATGGTAATTCCCAATGTGACACTCACGGTCCTTATTGCTCAGTTCCTTTCCCTGATAAGGAATTGGTGGGATACCAAAAGCTATCGCATCTGGACCAATATCCTTAACTGGATAGTTGCAACCACCCTGCAGATGAAGTTGTGCATGAATAGTTTGGTATCAGAAATTATTTTGAAAAAATATTCGATAAAAAATAAACATAAAGATTATTCAGAACAAAACAACTAAATGACAGCGCTATTAAAAGGTATATTTCCTTCAATTCTCTTTGTGTAAGGAGATGCTGTCCTCAGAATTTAATTTTTGCCCCTTTACAGGCTTATAGCCTCCATTTCTACATCATGTCATGTGCATTCCTTACGTCATTAGGCTTCTTGAAAAACGCTATTAATATTCATCAAATATTTCAGCGTATAGATATGCCCTCTTTTACTTATTTCCGGATTTTTTTCCCTTTAAGACTATTTCCAGAATTAAATAACGACTAAACCTATTCTGGTGATTGGTGTTCACGATTCCTTTGCTTTGGTTGCTAGGTGCTGTGTTTATGGGTAAAATATATATGTTTTTAGAAGGAGACAAACAAAAATAAGCATCTAGAAGCTATAACTACCTGGTAGTCAGCAGCCGCGGGCCTGACACTAGTGGACACTGAGTTGCTGTGTTTTAACTGGGGCAACTGCTCAGAGGCAGGTGCCAAACAGACCGGAGCCGTCCTCGAGCAAACAAGCAGCGCTGGCATCTCCCCTCCCTCCCTCCCGAGCGCACAGCGCTCCCCCAGCTCAGGCACAGGCCGGTCCCTCCACGACGGCAGTCGCTGTGTAATGCTGGGCAGTCGTGTCAGTCTACACTGTTTAACTACCAGACAGAGCTCACTAATGCTGCCTCCTCCACTCACAGGACCCACCCATCCACGTCTGCACACTTGCTCCAGCCCGTGAAAGAATTAATTTCCTCATTTATCTTTCCTTAAGATTTTATATATACTTCAATTTTTATGGCTCTATAGAACTTCAGTAAATAGATAAATACATGGATATTATTTGTTATGTAACTGGATCAATTGTATGATAAAAGTATTTGAAAAAGATCAATAGGGTTATACATTTTCAAAGACACATTTGTTGGAAAAGATGAGAACTGCATACAGATGGTCAGACGACATGAAGTACAGGTTCGCTCTTGTAAATCATTCTTACATAATCTCTTGCTAATCGTCTAAGGATTGTATATTTGT